GTGTGTGTGTGTGTGTGTGTGTGTGTGTGTGTGTGTGTGTGTGTGTGTGTGTGTGTGTGTGTGTGTGTGTGTGTGTGTGTGTGTGTGTGTGTGTGTGTGTGTGTGTGTGTGTGTGTGTGTGTGTGTGTGTGTGTGTGTGTGTGTGTGTGTGTGTGTGTGTGTGTGTGTGTGTGTGTGTGTGTGTGTGTGTGTGTGTGTGTGTGTGTGTGTGTGTGTGTGTGTGTGTGTGTGTGTGTGTGTGTGTGTGTGTGTGTGTGTGTGTGTGTGTGTGTGTGTGTGTGTGTGTGTGTGTGTGTGTGTGTGTGTGTGTGTGTGTGTGTGTGTGTGTGTGTGTGTGTGTGTGTGTGTGTGTGTGTGTGTGTGTGTGTGTGTGTGTGTGTGTGTGTGTGTGTGTGTGTGTGTGTGTGTGTGTGTGTGTGTGTGTGTGTGTGTGTGTGTGTGTGTGTGTGTGTGTGTGTGTGTGTGTGTGTGTGTGTGTGTGTGTGTGTGTGTGTGTGTGTGTGTGTGTGTGTGTGTGTGTGTGTGTGTGTGTGTGTGTGTGTGTGTGTGTGTGTGTGTGTGTGTGTGTGTGTGTGTGTGTGTGTGTGTGTGTGTGTGTGTGTGTGTGTGTGTGTGTGTGTGTGTGTGTGTGTGTGTGTGTGTGTGTGTGTGTGTGTGTGTGTGTGTGTGTGTGTGTGTGTGTGTGTGTGNCAGTGATTGGCAATGTGTTGATGTCAGTGAGCTTTGCATTGAGCAGTGATTGGCAATGTGTTGATGTCAGTGAGCTTTGCATTGAGCAGTGATTGGCAATGTGTTGATGTCAGTGAGCTTTGCATTGAGCAGTGATTGGCAATGTGTTGATGTCAGTGAGCTTTGCATTGAGCAGTCTATGTGGGTTTCTGTTCAAATATCAATAGTGTGAGCTTTTGTCCAGAAATAACGTGCACATTAGCGGTGACGTAAGTGTTGGCATCAATGCGACCCGGTGCGGCTCAATTTCAATCAGCGACCCAGCAAAATGCTCAACTCACATGATCAAATTTCCCTCAAATTCTCTTTATTTTAGCGAATAGCGGAATAAAGTTTTTCATCAATCTACACCTAGGTATGCTATACATTTTTTCAAATACATTTTTTTTACTAAATTTTATCTTTGTTTTATAAAATGTATTTATAATATGCTAAAACCACTTGACTGTTTGATTTCTTTAAAGTCCTTCGTAAGTCAAGGATTTGTTTGTTTGTGTTTGTTTTGTTTTGAAAATGTTGCTGATGCGACGTACCGGCGCTGACCGTCACACAAAGAGCAGCACATCATATAATAGCATATCATATAATAGCATATATTATACTGTACTGGCGAAATAAAGTGTTTACGTGAGTGTGTATGTGGGGGGGGGGCTTTATTAAAAAAAAAAGCTTACTTCTGGACGTCCTCAAGATCTCTGTATCCCCCCTCCCCTTTGTCCATTTTTATTCGCTTTTGAACGAACCCCCCCTCCCCCAAAACCTCCACCCTACCACGGATGACTGTTATGGAGGAACCTCCCCCCCCCCAACTATATTTTAGTTAAACATGATATTTTGACTTGGTTTAAAAAAAAAAACTCACTCCAGACCTCACCCTGACCTCACCCTGACATCACCCTGACCTCATCCTGACCTCACCCTGACCCATTCACATGGTCGTTTCTGTAACAAAAAAAAAAAAAAAAAAAAAAAAAAGAAAACACACATTCTTTTGTTTGCAGTGACCAGTTGATCTACATTTCAGCAGAGATATAGAAAGAAAAATGAAGTGGGTTCTACGTTGCCTGACCACCCTAGTCTTGTTCATCACAGCAGGATTTCGAGTCTTACACCGCACACAGAGTGAGTTTTTGGTTGTTTTTGTATCATGCTTTTTTAAAGTGTCTTCCGATCAAATTTGACAAGTGAAGACATAATCAGCTGATTTGAACGTGGCCGGGGAGCAATGTCCAACGCCACTGGTCAGGAACCAATTTTGGTTACTGAAAGTAAAACATAGATTTTAATGTATTTTTAATGCGCTGATCCAACTATGAAGTTAGCATCTGCGTAGTACGTCTAGATGTTAAAGTATTATTATTCAAGAAACATATATATATATATATATATTTTTGGGCATCCTTCCATCACAATGTGACGATGCTGTAGACTTCGCAGGACACTATCACAAGGCCTGTGATTCTTTCTATAGAAGTATAAGCTGGTTCCTTAGACACCAAATCGCCTCCCTCCAAAAACATGGTTAACCCAAGGTAACATCGAATGTGGGGTGATACATCTTGGAACGAGTAGCGTCGCACGTGTTGCCGGAATTGTGTCAATGTTATACGCTTACGGGACTCCGGGTTTGAATTCAGAGTTTGCCCTCTCGTAGATGAGTTGCCACTCGAGGCTAACGAGCCCTATCCACCCGGGATGCTGGTGGTGTTTGCGTTCGTCTAGGCTTTGCTGGCTGATTGAACTCCAGACCACGCGATTTTTTTTTTTTTAGTGTTAAATCAATGCGAATTTTTGTTCATATTTTTGTATAACCTTATTACTTTCGTTCATATTAGCAAGCCCCATTTTGAATTAAACTTTTTACATCTCCTACCCCCGCCGCCTACCCTGATCTTAACCCTAACCTTACCTATACGTCCAGGTAGCTTGTTTAAGGATGTGCTGTCTCCGAGGTTTACAACGAGCGCCAGCAGTGTCGCCAAAATCACCTTCCTTGTGTTCGGTGTCGGAGGATGTTTGGTGCTCTTCAAAAATATTAGCAAGTACAGCTCCAGAGGCGTAGCGAGAGCGTTTTTGCGCCCGGGGCGGGACAAGATTCGCGGCCAGGGATTATATTCCTTTTAAAGTGCCCCCTTTCTTTTCTTTTTTCAACTCTCAAACCCATTATTTTCATTAAAAAAAAATAATATCAAAGCACATTTTCGTCGCCCCTAACCAGCTGGCTCCCGGGGACATCTACCCTCCCTGCCCCCCTTTGCTACGCCTCTGTACAGCACTCACCCCCACGCCCCACCCCCAATAACACTTTGTATGGATTACGTCACGTGAGACTTTAAGATTAAGTTGCGGCGAATTCTTAAGTATAAATATTTCATGTGTCCAGTTATGAAATAGAGTCACACTTTTCTTTTCCGACAACAACATTTTGAAAAAAAAACTACATGCATTCTAATTTTTTGTGTGACATAAATACACTATTTAAATAATTAATTGTAATGGAGCCATTGATCCGTACTTCTTTATTTCAACCTCCAACCACCACGTGCCAGGAAGCTTGCCTTTTTCCACACGCGCCATGAAGTCATCAGCTGTTCAGAAGCTCATCATTCTGTCGTACTTGCGCAGTGGTTCGACCCTAACCGGTGCGCTGATCAACATGCACCCAGACGTTTTCTACATCTACGAGCCACTCTGGTCTCTACAAAATAAATTTAAAAATGGAAAGTTGCTTGCAGATGAAGCAAGATCTATGAATAAGTGAGTTGTTTTTTGTTTTTTTTAATTAATTCTTTTTAAAAAAAAAAAAAAAAACAAGTCTAGAGTGCTGGATCTATTCATCCGTGACAAGAAAAAATAAATTAGTTGAAATTAAATTTAAAAATATCATTGTGAAAATGCATCATTTAAATTGCTGCAGTGTGACCGTCGGTGAAGAGATGTTCAGAGCCAGAAGCGTCGATGTGATTCAGGCCATTCTGAACTGTGATGTGAACTCTCTTGACGCGGAGATGTTAAAAGTACGTGCGAGCCATAAAAAGAGTTAAAGGGGGTTAAGAAGTAACACATCACTACTAACAGATACCACTCTACGGCCCGTTCTCTAAAATCTGGAGTCTTAGACGCTCAATAATGTACTACTACAAACACAGCTGTGACAACAATAACAAAAAAAAAAACACGACATCACGAAGTAAGCAACAACGTAATACAGAAACCTTACTTCATGAAATAGAAGGTTCTAAAAAATTTGACACCCGCGACACAAAAAACCCGAACACATGGGGTAATGAAAAATGAAATTAAATTAAAATCATCCGAGGGTGGGACGGGCGGGCTGGGGTGTGGGGGGGGGGAGGGGATATCATTCTAGACAATTTGTAAACTAAGTATTTCAATTCGCATTATCGCAAATGCACATTTCTTTTAGTGTTAAATTATAAAGCTTTTCAATGCACATTTCTTTTAGTGTTAGATTACAAAGCATTTAAATGCACATTTCTTTTAGTGTTATATTACAAAGCTTTTCAATGCACATTTCTTTTAGTGTGAGATTACAAAGCATTTCAATGCACATTTCTTTTAGTGTTAGATTACAAAGCATTTCAGTGCACATTTCTTTTAGTGTTAGATTACAAAGCATTTCAGTGCACATTTCTTTTAGTGTGAGATTACAAAGCATTTCAATGCACATTTCTTTTAGTGTTAGATTACAAAGCATTTCAGTGCACATTTCTTTTAGTGTTAGATTACAAAGCATTTCAGTGCACATTTCTTTTAGTGTGAGATTACAAAGCATTTCAATGCACATTTCTTTTAGTGTTAGATTACAAAGCATTTCAGTGCACATTTCTTTTAGTGTTAGATTACAAAGCATTTCAGTGCACATTTCTTTTAGTGTTAGATTACAAACCATTTCAATGCACATTTCTTTTAGTGTTAGATTACAAAGCATTTTAATACACATTTCTTTTAGTGTTAGATTACAAAGCATTTCAGTGCACATTTCTTTTAGTGTTAGATTACAAACCATTTCAATGCACATTTCTTTTAGTGATAGATTACAAAGCATTTCAATGCACATTTCTTTTAGTGTTAGATTACAAACCATTTCAATGCACATTACTTTCAGTGTTAAATTATAAAGCATTTCAATGCATATTTTTTTAGACAATTTGTAAACTACGTATTTCAATTCGCATTATCGCAAGTTCACATTTCTTTTAGTGATAGATTAAAAAGCATTTCAATGCACATTTCTTTTAGTGTTAGAATACAAAGCATTTTAATACACATTTCTTTTAGTGTTAGATTACAAATCATTTCAATGCACATTTCTTTTAGTGTTAGATTACAAAGCATTTTAATACACATTTCTTTTAGTGTTAGATTACAAACCATTTCAATGCACATTTCTTTTAGTGTTAGATTACAAAGCATTTTAATACACATTTCTTTTAGTGTTAGATTACAAACCATTTCAATGCACAAATTTTTAGTGATAGATTACAAAGCATTTTAATACACATTTCTTTTAGTGTTAGATTACAAACCATTTCAATGCACATTTCTTTCATTGTTAAATTATAAAGCATTTCAATGCAAATTTCTTTTAGTGTTAGATTACAAAGCATTTCAATGCACATTTATTTTAGTGTTAGATTACAAAGCATTTCAGTGCACATTTCTTTTAGTGTTAGATTACAAAGCATTTCAATGCACATTTATTTTAGTGTTAAATTACAAAGCATTCAATGCACTTTATCGTCAAGTATAAAGTTTTTTAACATTTATTTTCTTCAGCAACTTCATATGAAGAAGAGCCCATCAAGTTTGGATTACTTCAAGTGTATTTATCCTATTTATCGAGACTACAATATACGTCATCGAGGTAAAGTATAAATACTGCAAGTAGAGTTCAACCTATTTCAAAACAAGACGTGGTTTTTAAATCCATTATATTTAACTTAGCTTATGTTCGTGCGTGGCTTGCAAAAATCTTCGGCTGACTAATTGACCCACTTCACGTCAACATATCGGGCTGAAGTTCGGCACATAGACTCGTTGCACATGGCAACATTTTTTTCTTTTACAATTTTCATCCCCAACCCCCCCCCCCCCAGTAAAAAAAATAGAGTGCTCCTGTTTTTCCAGGGCAAGATGAAGGAAAATGATGTCACGAAATAAAATACCCGATAGCTGCGCTAAATTAGATTTTTTTTTTTAAAATATCGCCCTTGCGTTTGCTACGTAATATTTTAGTTTTTTTAAATAAAATTGTTGGTGAAATAATTCTGCATAGTAAAAGCTGGCGGGCTATTATAATTTTAATTTAGTTCAGGGGCGTGAAAAAAAAATGTGCGGTTGCAAGCCTTGGGAAAAAAAAAGCACTGATTGGGATTCTTTGCAAGTGAGTTACTTGCTTGCACGTCTTATCAAATTTACGGCCCCACTCCAATCGCCCAATATCATATTTTATAAAGGATTTATACGAAAAAAAACCTCTTTTTTGGGGGTTTGTTTAGTTATACCAATATTGACGGGGAGTTGTCCCATTAAAAATCTAAAATTTTGCTGTTTTCAAGAGTTTTATCGTTATCATTCTTAACATTTTCTCAGATTTTATTAGAAAATTACCGACGTGTCTACCGTTACTGGCATCTAAATGTCAGCAGGCCAAGGTGACATCTGTCAAAGTCATTGACGTGAACATGAGGCAGGCCCACGTCATGATGGCGACCGACGACAAGGTTAAAATCATCCATCTCATCCGAGACCCTCGCGGCGTCCTCAACTCGAGGCAGGTGTTCGGCGTCCCGGAGTCGCGAGACCCGGACTACGTCACGCAGTTCTGTGCGCGCGTCCACGAAGATGTCACAGCGTCAAAAACACTTTCCCGGCTGTTCCCGGGACGAATACTGACGGTCCGGTACGAGGACATCGTCCGGTCACCGATCGCGGTCACGGAACAACTCTACGCCTTCGTCGGGATAGACCCGACCTCGGGCATCAAGGACAAGATTTGGGAAATGACGTACGGCGGCCTACCGGACGGCTGCAACGTGTGCCCGACGAGACAGAACGCCACGGAGACGGCAAACAGGTGGAGGGGGACGCTGAAGTTTGAAACGGTGGCCGTGATCCAAGAAGGGTGTCGGGAGCTTTTGGCCACCATGGGGTACAGGAGCTTTGTGACCGGAGAAGAGCAGTTGAACAATCACATCCATTCGACACGGGATGACTATGACCGTGATTTGATGAAGATCAATTTAGGAAGATGATGTTAGCAGATGATGGAAGGAAGAAGCTGTTGTTGAAGCAAGATGGTGTTCGAAGATGGTGTTCGAAGATGATGTTATTTTATTATTAATTTTTTAGTTTATTCATTGTGCATGCAAATGGGTCTTAAACTGTATGTCATGGTGGCAAAAGTGGCACTGCTCGAATTGGTGCCACATGGGGGGAGGGCGCCAACATTTTTGCCACCCCCCCTCTCCTTCATGAAAAACAGCTTTGATTGTTTGATTGGCCGATTTAAAGAAAAACATGTGCAGTCCTGGTTGGACAGCGCCTCCCCCCCCCTCTGCCGCATCTTTCCTATACGCCACCGGTGTTTGAGAAACTGCACATTTTGTTGGAGTGACAGGAAATTTGCATCATTTCCGGGCACGGGTGTCCTTTCCGGCTCATTATTTTTATTCGAAACTAACAGCACATTTTCTTTTCGCAATTATAAATTTGTATTAAATTGTATATTGTGCTTCAACGCCCATAATGTCGCATTAAAAGGAGTGCGGAGCCCAAGCTTAAGATCTGCTAATACCCTAAACCTGGAGAACTCATTTTCTTTGCACGTGATGCACCTAAATTTTTATTTTTCGGATTGCTCAGAGTCTTGTACCGAAGCCAGGTGAGTTACTTGAGGAACATCCAGTTACGCTTAGGTCTCCAAAGTACACTGTTTGTTTGAACCTTTAAATTGGGGATTGTCGGATGAACGAGCTCTCAACTGTCACCATACAGATCATGTCATTTAGTTTCACCCATGACATAGGTACACTGCATCCACAAAACGTTACATTTCTTTTACACATAACTGGCAAAACGTCAATGTCAATAACGGGCAATGAGCCATGTCAGTATCTAATTATTTCCATAAAGTTCAACTTAATCTTGTAAATAATTAATGATGGTATTTCATTATGTATAAATTTAGAAGTGTAACACAAGTGTGTGTGTATATATATATATATATATATATATATATATATGCAAGGTCGCCCAGAAAAAGTGAGACCATCTCATAACAAAGGGTTATATAACTGAATTAATATGATGTTCTGTCATTGACAGTTGTATGACAATTCACTTATAACGCTAATCAGAAAAAATGTTCAATCTGTCTTCCCCAACTTGCACTACTTGATAAAGACTTATTGTAAGCGTTGGCGCCTTTTTTATGCTTCTGACAGTAAAGCGATGTTATCACATTTTTGGGGGCCAACCTGTAGATCTAACTTCATTACGAATATCCCTTATGGCAGGCCTGCACAACTCAAAATGTAAGGCGGGCCGTAATATTTTATGAAAAACTTGTGCGGGCCGAAAGATAATAGAACGGGGGGGGGGGGGGGGGGGGGGGGGGGGGGGGGGCTATTAAGAAAATAATAATAATAAAGAATATTTCGTTACTTCGCGGGCCGCAAAGTCAACGTGCGTGCTGGCGAGCCGTATGTTATGCAGGCCTGCCTTATTTAATACACAACTTCATTCAATGAAGTATAAAGCTTTATTTTTTACAATGTTAATAATTTATAACATTTTCATTGTGATAAGCTTATAATTTCAACTTCAATAAATGTAATCTTTTTATGATATGAAATTTCGTATATCCTTATATTTATGTGAAATGCAACTTTATTGTGTATACACTGTGCATCTTATATATAATGTATTAGCATGTTTTTAAATGCAGTACATGATTATAGTGCTGCTTCTGTCAAGAGTAATAATAATCATGCAAATAAACATTACTTCAAATACTTCTGTTACAATATGACAAGTAATAAGCTTCGGGAGCAGTGGAAAGTGAATGGTTAAAATAATGGAAAAGAGTTTTCAGGGGTAATCATTGAGGATTTGTAGCCAAAACTATTGAAACAAAAGTATTATCCCTTTGAAATAATATTGAAAGATTATTTTTTTTTTAAGTAACTAAACGTGAGTACTTGATGTATTTCGCTTCAAATAAGTAAAAGTAATTGTGTAAATGCTTACATTATATTTGTATTGTGTGGTCTAGACTAGGCCTGCACAACTCAAATTGTAAAGCGGGCCGGTATACTTTATGAAAAACTTAATGCGGGCCAAAAGAAAATAAGGACAGGGGGGGGGGGAAGCTATTCAGAAATAATAAGAATAAAGAATTCTTCGTTACTTCGCGGGCCGAAAAGAAGGGGCTGGCGGGCGGGCCGCATGTGGCCCACTGACCGTATGTTGTGCAGACCTGGTCTAGACCGTAGCTTTGAACAAATTAATTTTGAGCAAATCTTGCTCAATGATGTGGTGGGGGTGTAGCTCAGTGGTAGAGCGTCCGCTTTGCATGTGAAAGGCCCCGGGTTCGATCCCCGGCTCCTCCATTTATTTTTGTTAACTTAGGGTGAAAAATGTCTACAATGAATAACAACAGCAAGCCATTGATCCTCTTCACCAGCTATAAGCATGCAAAGTTTCAATTATGTAGTTCCAAAACTATTCCTCCTGATTCAATTTACGTCAGAAAAAATTGAAAGTGCCAAGTCGATAAAAGCTGAAAAAGACACTGAAAAATGCTTATTAAAAAAATTAAAGGTTACTTGAACCATATTGGCTGCATACATCATGAACACATTCCACTGGTTAATTAAAAAAACAATGTAAGAACATAGATATAATAGAAAGAATATAAATGAATGCATTTTTCCAACAACCAACTAGTCTCGAGCCTAATAAAAATAATAAGATCATAAAAACTTCTGAATTTTGTTTATGAGATATGCAATAAAAAAACATCAATCATTATGTAGAGAATATCAATAGAAACAACCTTGCAAATTTTGAAGCATGTGGTAATAATACTTTTCCTCATAATACATCTGACGTCAGAGATAAATGGAAAATCCTAAGTGGAAATAACAAAAAAGTTGTAATAAGTTCATTAGGAAAAAATCCCAGGCCCTCTAAAAAATACAAAGGTTGCATTGGTTATATACATACACAATTCATACTAAAAGGG